AAGTGTATGTGCTTGTATTGGGGGGGTGGAGGTGGGGGTGGGGGTGCTGAGTCTGGCCTGTAATTAAGGTGGGTCCCAGGGTGCAGGAAAAGGGATTTGGAGGGTGGGGGCCGAGGAAAAGTAGGGATGTAGAGGCTAGTGAAGCAGGTTCTATAACCTGGATCTTGTTGCATGAATGGGAGTGGGCTGGGGTAGGGGTGGGGGAGAATGATTCTTTGCCTTATAGCCATAGGGAGAAGGAAGGCACTGGTCTAAATCTAGCCTTTTTCTCAGCCCTATACTCCTTGATTTTCAGCAAACTTTACTTTCTTCCCCATTCAATATGAAAGGAAAATAAATCCTGGAGAGATTACTTTCTGTAGATAATAGTTATTTACCAAATATTCCCTCCTGGCCATGAGAAATTTCTCTTGGGGGGACTCATACCTAGAGGGGACTCTGACAGTAATTGCTCAGACACAATAAACAGGATATAATGTAACCAAGACAATGTAGCACATAGGCTATAATGCAGATACACTACCACAGCAGATACAATGTAGTAGATGTAGTATCCTGAAGCCCCCCTAGGTAGCACACTGGGTTGATGCCTCAGAATTCCCAGTAGCCAACCCCCTGGGCCACAGACCAACAGAGAGCCTCACACCCAGGTAGACAGAGTATTTCTCTGTAGGGAAAGGAGTTTTTCCTAAAGGTGATTTTCCACTGTGAGAGATTTATTTCATCAGCAGTTCCCAGGAGAGGAGTATTCTCCTGACAGATGAATAATTGAGCTGCCTTTAGGAATCTGCCCTAGTGGGAGCTAGTGGGCTGTAGATTCCATCCAGCGGGGGCTCAGGGAATGGAAGGGGTTTCTCTTCCCTTTTGCAGGGCTGGATGGGGAGCTGGATGTTTGGGGAACATGGATGGAGGCTGGGGGCTGCTAAGCAAAAGGGCTTCTGATAGCTATCTCTTTGCTCTCTGCCAGAGGAACAAAGAACAGAGCTGTGGCTTGTGTCTGTGAATTGACTCAGCTCTTATCATAAGGCAGAGAAATGGTCCCTTGTGAATTAACCCTTAGAGATCTCAGGGGCCAGAGGAGGAGCCAGTGTGGTATTCTTTGCAGGGACTCTTCTCCCTCCATCCCTGCCCCCACCACACACGAAATCGATCATCTTTGGCTGCCTTGAAGAGGGGAAGAGTGTGCTGATGGGAGGAGGGGGAGAGATGTTGGTGATGGGCTTCTCTTCTGAGCAGGCCACTCTGGGGGACATCCTTGGTTCCGGGAGCCACAGATTAGGAAGCACATGGATGAGATTGCGGGAGTGCCCCCAGAGGGCAGCCAGGATGGAGCAGGACCATAGGAGAATCTAATGATGCTTAGGCTGGGGCTTCTAAGGAGGGGAGGGGGAGTTGTGGTCAAGTACTTGAAGTGCTATGAACTAAATTTGTCTCAGGGACCAGATCTGGGAACAATGGGGGGGAAACTGCCAGGGCAGATTTAGTATTGAGTTAAGCTGGACTTCCTTTGGTGGGGGGGGTGCCTGAGGATTACTGGGCTGCCCCCACCCAAGGTCTCCGAGTAGAGACTGGATGACCCCTTGCTTGTTAGGGTTGTGGCAGATAAGGGGAAATCTGATTTAGCCGTCAGTTTGATAGAAGGATTTTGAAGCCCTTCCAAATTTGAGCCATTCCCCAAGACTCCATGATGAAATTGTCTCTGGCCAAACAGGAGTGGGAATAAAGAGCGATAATCACTAATGCTCAAGTAGCAAGTTAAGGTTTGCCAAGCACTTAACATTTCTCATCTCCTCTGATCCCAACCACAGCTCTGGGAGGTAAAGCCATCATTGCTCTCATTTTACAGGTGAGGAAACTAAAGCAGAGAGAGGTTAGTTGACCTGCCTAGAGTCACACAGCTAATAAGTGTCCGAGGCAGGATTCAAACTCGGGCCTTCCTAATCTCCAGTCCAATGCTCTGTTTCCTCTACTGCCCAGCTGCCTCGGATAAGCTGATGGCCTTCTCAGTCAGGCATCCTGAGTTCAAATCCTGATGGACAGAAGCTGAGTGACTGTGGATAAGTCCTTCTGCTCAAGGAGTTAGAGCAGAGATGGGCCTTGGTGATCTTGGAGCCCGACTCTCATTTTATAATGAGACCTAGAAATGATAAGCACTCTGCCCATTGAAGCCAGTAACAGTGTGCCATCATGGGCAGGAAAATTGTTTTTTCCTTATTGAGCCTAACTCTGCTTACCTCTCTGTAATGCAGAATGATAGATTTGGAGCCAGAAGGAATCTTAGAGATAATATGGATTAGTGCACTCATTTTACAGAGGAAGACCTTTTTACAGATTTTACAAATCCAGAGTTATTACTTCAAATGATGGATGTATCTGCTGAAGGTAGAAACTCTAGACTCTTGGTAACCGTGATGGGCCCCAAAATTAGAACTGGTTGCCTTAAGAGCTCCCTGATGTTGGAAATGAACTAATGGAAGGCTGAGTGACCACTTCTTGTCAAGGAAATTCTTGTTCTGAGATGGGTTGGGCCAGGTCCCTTCCAACTCTGAGATTCCGTGGTCTAGGAATTCAGTGCCTGGCTCTGACCTTTACCCCTTCTGCTGCAGAAATTATCTACTAATTACTTATCCCTGGTCTTGATCCTTTAATAAACATGCTTCTAGCATCATGATCAAAGCTGGAAGGAAGCTGGGTGAATCTCGTAGCCCTTCCTCAGTCCTGCCTCCCCTTACAGACCAGTTAGCAGGTTCTTCAAGGAGAAGCCCCAGATCCTCCAGAGTGGGAGGGGCAGCCAGAGATGGGACTCTACCTGCAATCCAGGACTCTTTCCACAAACATATGCTTCTTCTGTGTGCTGAGATCTCAGTTTCTGTAGCTGGGGCCAACCAGGAAAAGTCCAGGATGATGATATCACTCACCTCCTGGCTGAGAAATTGGTTCTTCTCTCATGGTGATGACTCTTGTGGTGGTCATTAGGGCTGACCTCAGTGATCCAGAGGCTTGAAGACACCACCGCCAATATTGCATGTGCACCTGATCCTTGTTATATTGAGGGATCCTCTGCCCTTCTCTCAAGTGCTTCCTTATATTACACCCCTTGACTCCCAACCTTTCTACAGAGAGAAAGAGGAAGTGTTTCATTCTGTCTCCTTCTCATGTTCTTCCTAATTTCCCTTTGAAATGCACCTTATTTAAAAAAAAAAAAAAGACAAAACCAACCAAAATATAACGGTGTATGTATGCGACATTTCATTCCCATATGCTCCCCTCAACTTTATACTGAGAGGCAAGTATTTCACCCTAGACCAAGATTAATGAGAATTCAAGTCCCTTTTAAGGCAGTTTCATTGTCGTTCTTTGTTTGTACATCACCTTCATTCCCAAATATTTTCTTCCTCCATGAACCATCCCTTAGAAGAGGAACAGATGAGTACAAGGGACCAGCACCTCAATCAAGCTTGACAGTGTTTGCCATGTTTGGGGGGGGCACCCACCCACTCCCCTGCCCATCCCCCACTGCTGTGAAGAACTAGCTGCTGAGTCTGTCCTCTGTTTTGGCCCCAAGTTCAAGTCATTTCAATGGTAAAACTTCCCATTTAGCCGTGGTTTCCACTGATGTAGCTGTAGTCATTGTGTACGTTGCTTTCCAGGCTCTGTGCATTTTGCTTTGGGTCAGTTGGGCAGTATTCCCGTGGTTCTCATTTTCATGTTCTTTATAGCTGGAAGTAGACTGGATTGGATGCCTTTTTAAAAAATTTTTATCTTGGAAGGACCTTGAGAAATGGCGGGTGAGCGGGATGAGCAGGCAACTGAAGCCACGGCCGTATGATGAATAGCTGAAAGCCCTGATGATTCTTCTGGAAGGCTCTCCTGTGGAGCTGGTGTTTGGGTGGCTCCTGAAGCATGATGGAGAAGCCTGACAGTTGGGCCTGGGTTCAGATGCCTCCTCTGTGCTTCTGGGCCGGTGATGTCACTCTTTGAGCCTCAGCTGCTTCACCTGTAAAATAAGGGGGAGGGATCAGACTCTAACCTCAAAGGCCTCTTGTGGTTCTGGCCCCATGGTCCTGTGTGTGACCTTAAGAAGCTCCCTTCACCTCCCTGGCCTCAGTTTCCTCATTTGTAAAATGAAAGGGGTTGGTCTAAAGCATCTTCTAGCTGGCTGTCCCCATTGACACTTGACTCTAGGTTTTCCTGACTCAGTTCCCAGCATCCTCTTTGCTGTCTTGTGGCACCAAGTCCCCTCTCCCCCTGCCCCTCCCCCATGCTTGGATTTAGGATCTGTGAGCCTGTTCAAGTGGGCAACCAATCAGCTTTCTCTTTCTCTGTCAAACATGAACGCTTAGGGCCAGAGTCTCTTTGGGCATTTGGCCTCTTTACTGCCCCCGTCCCCACCTGAGCTCTTCTCATTGGCCCGTCTGAGGAGTTTCAAAGGTTTTTATCAGTCTGCTTAGATTTCATGAATACAAGAAGCAGAAATCCACCGACTACAGTCTGGCGTTTCGAACGTCCACAGCCTGTCCTGTCTATTGAGCTGGTGGTGAGATTTAGAAGATTAGGGGTTCTATAAATGGGGAGGAGGGGAGGCACAGAGCCAGCTCTGTGTAAGGACTGGGAAAGACCCATTCAAGTCCTCCTTGCCCAAATCCTCTTTGGATGCATAGCAGTTGTGTGACCTTGGGCAAGTCATTGTATCTCTGATCCTCATCTGTGAAGCAGGGACGGGGCTCATTCTTGCACTTTCTGCCTTGCAGGGCTTGTAAGAGTCTAATCACATCAGTTTTGTGAAGCACGTTGAAAACTTCATAAGCTGTAGATGTGATCTGTTTTTATTCTTCCCAGAGGGGAAAAGTACATCCTTCAGAAATAATTGCAGGGGGTAGGGTGTACAGTGACAGGACATCTGGGCAGGGTTTGGCTCTGACCTGTAACAGGCCAACAGGCTTGGAGTCTGGCTCACCTACTTCTCTTGTTCTTCCTCTCCTCCCCACCCCCTTCCCCAGACAGGCTTGGAGGGAAGCCCAGTTGATGGACCCGTCCCAGGCCGGATGGACTCAGGGCCAGTGTACCATGGGGAGGAACGGCGGCTGAACACTCCCAGGGCCCCAGTCAATGGGGCCGGAGAACCGGCTGGGCCGGGACTACTGGGGGTTGGAGGAGTATGGCAGGTCGACCAGAAGCCTGATTGGGAACCTTCCCCGAGCCCTGCTCATGCTGCCCACCCAGAAGATGCCCATGACCTTGTGGCCTTCTCAGCAGTGGCTGAAGCTGTTTCCTCCTATGGGGCCCTCAGCACCCGCCTCTATGAGACCTTCAATCGGGAGATGAGCCGGGAGGGTGGCAGCAACCTCAGTGGTCCTCGACCTGGCCCCGAGAGTTATCCTGCAGGGGGAGAGGACCTGGATACCCTTCAGACAGCCCTGGCACTGGCCCGCCATGGTATGAAGCCACCCAACTGCAACTGTGATGGGCCTGAGTGTCCTGACTACCTCGAGTGGCTGGAGGGAAAGATCAAATCTGTGGCTGTGGCAGGAGGGGAGGACCGGCCTCGGCCACCAGAGTCTTTGCCTCCGAGTGAAGTGGGCCTCCCCACTCCAGGCCCCCTCCATCCTGGTGAAGTGGGCCTCCCCGCTCCTGGGCCCCTCCATCCTGGTGATGTGGGCCTCCCCGCACCTGGGCCCCTCCATCCTGGTGATGTGGGCCTCCCCGCTCCTGGGCCCCTCCATCCTGGTGAAGTGGGCCTCCCCGCTCCTGGGCCCCTCCATCCTGGTGAAGTGGGCCTCCCCGCTCCTGGGCCCCTCCATCCTGGTGAAGTGGGTCTCCCTGCACCTGGGCCTCTCCATCCTGGTGAAGTGGGCCTCACTGCTTCTGGTCCCCCCCTCCATCCTGGTGAAGTGGGCCTCCCAGCCCTGGGCCCTGGGCCCCTTCTCAGCCCTGATGCTCCCCAGCTGCACTCACCCAATGGTCTGCCGCTTTCAGAGAGTGCCCTAAACATCGCCAAGGAGAAAAACATCAGCTTGCAGACAGCCATTGCCATAGAAGCCCTCACCCAGCTCTCCTCCACCCTGCCCCAGCCATCCTCCTGCCCGCAGTCCAAGGCCTTATCACCAAATCCTCCTTTTCGACCTCCTCAGTCTTACCTTCCCACTTCCCCGTGGCCTGTGGGTCCGCCTGAAGAGCCTCAATCCTGTGCTCCTGAGAGTTCAGCCTTCCCTCCAGTAGCCCCCCGCACTGAGTTTCCTGAGGTCTGGGGCCCAGACACACCGCCTGTGACACCTTGTACCTCCTGGCCAGTCCCCCGAAATGGCCCTGACCCCATGGCTGAGCTGGAACAACTTCTGGGCAGCTCCAATGACTACATCCCATCATCTTTCAAACGGCCTGAGGCCCTGCCTGCCAAGCCCAAGATCAAAGTTGAACCCCGTTCCCCTCCTGCCCCTGCTCCCAGTCCCCGGAAGGAGGCACCTACTCCATCCTCAGATCCTGACACCCACCGAAAGGTCCAGTCAACTCTCCAACAGCACCTGCATCACAAGCGTAGCCTATTCCTTGAGCAGAACCCGGGCAGTGCCTGCTCCAGGGCCTCCTCGGTGCCCCCCAACCGGGGCTGGTGGGCCCCTCCAATTCCCGGGAGCCCTCGGCCCTCTGACAAGCCAGGCAAGGAAAAGAAGAAGAAACAGCTACCTGCAGTTGGTGGCCTGGTGGGGGGTGAGAAACGTGCCCTAGGGCTCAAGACGGTCACTCGCAAAATAGTGCAAATCAAGAAGCCCAAGATACGAGACTCCCACCCTCGCTTCATGCCTCTACGCCAGATCAACCTGGAAGTGTTGAGGAGCCCTGCTCCTGGGGCCCCGAAGGCAGGTGCCACACCCTCTCCGCCTCCCTGCAGGGGCACCTCCATGCCTGAAGTCCCAGCCCCTTCCCATGCATTATTTGCACCAGGTCCCTCTGGGGGCAGCCTTTTGCCCCCTACTCAGGAAATGGCTTGTCCCAGCCTTGCCGCCGCCCTGCAGTCCAGCCCTGCTGTCCCCTTGGTCCCTGCTGATGACAAACTGGAGGAGCTCTTCCAGCAGTTTGAAGCAGAGTTTGGAGACAACTTTGGCCTTGCAGCGGCACCCCCAGCCCCTGCCTGCTCCCCCGAGCACCTGGCATCCTGTGTCCTGCGCCCCGAGAGCCCCTTTTCTGGACGCTCCAGAAAACAGATGAAGATTGAGGCGTCAGGCTCTGTTGCTGTGATTTCTACCACCTGCCTGGAGGCGGAGGAAGGGGGCCTGGAGACACCCACCAAGCAGGAGCAGACAGCCACTCCCAACCTCCGGGGCTTCCTGGAATCTCCACTCAAGTACCTGGACACCCCCACCAAGAACCTGCTGGACACCCCCTCCAAGAGAGCCCAGGCCGAGTTCCCTGTCTGTGAGTGTGTCGGTGAGTCTTGCCCTCTTGTGTTCCAACTCGAGACCGCTAGAGACATCGATATTGTGAGACGAGAGCTCTGGAGTAGCAAGGGGTTTGGGGGTTGTCCCACTGATAACCACATTTGGCAGAGGAGGAAACTGAGGCACTGACAAGTGCAGTGATTTGCTCAGGGTCATGGCTCTTGGGGGTGGGAGAGGAGATGGGAACGTTGTGCCTTTGGGGATCTGGCTGGGCTAACTTTGCTCTTGTCCTTCCTCCTCAGCACAAGGGAACCTGTGGCCCTCTTTGCCTAGCCCAAGATCCAGGTTGAGCCCTGCTCCCTCCCTGGTGCCACATTATGTGTTGGGAAGGGTCAAGGAACAGAGACATCTTCCTAGCCCTCGACTCATTCAGGACCGGAGTTTTTCCCCTTAGCTTTAGTTTTGGTCTTGGAGTCAGGCTCTGCTCCCTTCTTTCCAGCCTCACGTCCCCAACAGGCTAAAGGAGTAGATAGAGGTCATAAAGACCCGAGTTCAAATCCAGCCTCAGACATGTAATTGCTGTGTAACCCTGCACCAGGCACTTAAGCGCTGCCTGCCTCAGTTTCCTCATTTGTAAAATGGAGATAATAAGTAGTACCTACCTCTCAAGGTGGTTGCAAAGATAAAATGAAATAATAAGTTGTAAATGACTTTGCAAACCTTTAAGGGTTTCGTAATGGCTTTATCACCATCACCATCACCACCATCATTGTTGTGGCTGTTGTCATTGTTATCCTTTGAATGGCCTCCAGTGAGCTTCTAGGAGAACCCTAGGTGGAAAGGTTTGGTACTGGGCTTCTTTCTTCCACTGACCTGGGTGCCAGGCAGGACAGGAGTTCAGCTGGATTTCTGGTTCCTCGTTCCATTTCTTCCAGCTTTAGCAAAGGTCCCTGTGCCCTCCCAGGTCTCAGGTTAAGAGAAAGGTAGACTGTGAGAACAGAACAGGAGATTATGTCTTTGATAAGGACAAGTTAGGGCTTCATGGTGGGGAGGTCACAAGAACACCCCAGAGATGCCAGAAAATCTTCCTTGATCCCCCTGTAGAAAGCCCAGGTTAACCCAAACATCCAGACCCCCTGGTGTTAAGGGAGATCAGAATTGGCTTCTTGTGGAAGGTGAAGATTTGGCTAGGACGACCAGGAGAGGAAAATGAGCTAGGAGAGAATTCCAGGCAAGAGAGAAAGCCGGTGGAAATGGCTAGAGTTGGAAGGTGGAGTGTTCTGTGTGAAGAGCAGAGAAGAGGCTGGTGTCACTGGATCTCTGTACATGCAAGAGAGAAAAAGAGAAGGTCAAAAGAAAGATTGGAGAGGCAGGAAAGGGTTTAAAATGCCAGAGGGACGGACACACACACACACACACACACACACACACACACACACACACCCTCCCCTGACAGCAGGTGTGACCTGGTGACAGTCCAGCCAACAAAAATGAAAAGGAATGGTCAGACAGGTAGGAAGAAACGCAGGGGAGTGTGGGATCATGAAGACCTAGAAAGAAGAAAGCGTCAAGGAGAACGGTTGGAGGGGGGTGGCAACGTCACAAACCACAGAGAGGTCAGGACGATCAGAGACCAAGAGAAAGCCATTGTACAGGACAGAAGAGTCCTGGTTGAAGAGATGTTCATGGGAATCACATTCACTGGGAAGGGTTTTAGTGTGTCTGGGAGCCACTAGAGGGTAGAGCCACCATGGCATCCAGTGTGACCTTAGGCTCCATTTGTGGCTGCACACCAGCGTCCTTCTGAAGCGAGGTGTCAGTCCCTCTGTTCTCTGCCCAGGTCAGGCCACTGGCCTTTTTGTTCTCTTCACCTCTGGGTGTTAGATTTGGGGATGGAATAGCTAAGTCTAGAGAAGAGCAGTAAGCATGGCCAGGGCCTGTTACAGTTACCATGTCATATACCAGTCCATTGAATGTGGGCTTTTTGAGTGCCTGCTCTGCCAGTGCCAGGGATACAGAGATAAAACTGAAAACAGTCCCTTTCTTCAAAGACCTAGCCTATTGGGTTAAATAAGTAAATACATGACCAGATAAAGTAAGTACTCCAATGTGGACAAATAGATGGATGTGACAAAGTCAATAGAATGATGTAGGCAAAGTAAATACACAACTGTATCCTAAGTAAATACAGTGTAATTGAACAAGAGGAATCCACGGTTATTCTGTCTGTAATGTTAATGGGAAAGGGATGTTGGAGGGAGAGCACCATTTGTAGGGGCATCATCTAAAGACTAGATACTTCTCCATCCCTAGAGACTGCAAGTGCTTTGCTGGGGTGGGGGGGAGTCTTGGATTTGGTTTATAAAAAAATTTTGATAACTGCATTTCAGCATAATTGGGTTCCTTTGTATTCCTATGTGTTTTTATTGTGTGCTTTAAAAACATGATTCTGAGAAAGAACCCATATATCACAGGGGCCAATGATAAAAAAAAAAAAGGTTAGATTCCAGCTCTGGAATCTCCCTTGGTACCTTACCCTCTCCTAGTCTTTTATGTGGTCTTTGAAGGTTCCTGCTTGCTTCAGTATCTCCTAAGGTAGCCATTCCCAAAGAAGACGGGTCCAATGTGGCATTGGTGCCAGGGCAGGGGCGGGATCCTCAGACAAAGACTGGTGATCATTTGCCAGGTGTGTTGTCAAAGAGAGGTTTCATGTTCCTATCATGCTTATTAGCCCAGGTGTTGTTCTTCCATGCCTCAGAGGCTTATTTGAGCTTGTCTTTTCAGAGGTGCTCTGAATCGTAAGGTTTTATAGACAGAACTGGAAGAAGCTTGTGGGTCATCTTGTGCAGATGAGGAAATGTGAAGGTAGACAGGTCAGTCAGGTCAGGATTGGTGGAGCCAGGATTTGAACCCACTTCCCCATACTACCACATCCATGCTCTTTCACTTATGACATCACAGCCTCCCTCCAAGGATAAGGCTGCAAGGCACTCCATCTTCCAAACTGGTGCCTTTCCCACCCTGCTTGTGAGAGCCATGGGGATGCCTGGAGGACAAAGGATGTTTGAGAGAGGCCATGTTGTGCCATGTACAGAGTGCAGATTCTGCCTGACTGAGGGGGTGAGAAGGGGAATATAAGAATCTCAGGTTGAGAGGGACCTAGGCCATGGTTGTCCTATCCACTGGGTAAGAATCACAGAATAACTCACGTTGACCTGGATTTGCAGAGTATTTCATATTGTCTCCTTCAGCCATCATGGTAACCCTGTGCAGTAAATGCTGCAGGGATTATTGTCCCCAGTTTACAGCTGGGCATTTGAGGGACTCTTCCCAGGTCACACACAGGCAGCATCTTAACCCAAAGCTTTCTTGATTCCATCCTCTGGGTCCTCACCTCCATTTCTTCCATCTGAGGACCTCATGGGAGGGGAGGCAGCTTCAGTTGATAGGAAGTTTCTCTCTCACACCAAGTGTGTATTGACTTCTGCACAACTTCCGCTCTTTGCTTCTAATTCGACAAAACAGCAGATTTAGAAGGAACCTCAAGCACCATGAGTCCCACCTGTTACTTCCCCCTAAAGAAGTCCCACTAGGACCCATCTAATTTGTCAGCCAGGCTCCCAGTGGTGGCCACTTCCCTTTGGAACAGTTCTTAGTAAGAGAGTTTTCCTGCCATCCTGCAGGAATGGGCCTCTCTGCATCTCTCCCCATTGCTCCAGGCTCTCCCGGCTGGGGTCATACCAAACGAACCTGACTCCTCTTGTAACTGATTGCCCATCAAATGGCCTCAAGAGTCCACTGAATCTCCTTTTGTCCAGGCCACACTTGTCCAGTTCCTCCACCAGGACAGTCTGCTCCAGTGTCCTTTGATGATATCTTTGTGACCTCTGCCCTCCAGGTGCTAGCAGGAGAGCTTTCCATGTGACAGCCCTTCAGAAAGAAGCTGGTGGTCACCTATTAGGTCACCTGGGAGTCTTCTTCAGGCTAAATATTCCCAGTTACTTCTGCAGATGCTGCTGGTGGACTAAAGGGCCATTTCAGCTCTTTGCTGACTTTTTAACCTCTTTTCTTTCATCCATTCATTCACCCCCATCACTACTTACCTCCTCCCACTCTGAAAATAAATGGTGACAGGAATTTCTAAGTTGGTGAGTAGGTCACTGAGGCAAAGTAACATATGACCAATCCATGCCAAGTCCTTGGGGCCCTGACATTGGGCAGCTAGCTTATGATCCCTTTCCCCAAGAGGTGGAGGACCCTCCTAGGAGGCCCAGGAACCCTCCTTCAGAAGAGTGTACATTTCCACTCTCCTCATCAGAGTTCCAGAAGATCATTCTCCTCATTTTGCAGAAGAAGAAACTGAGGATCAGAGAGATGAGATAGTCTGGCCGTAATGGTGGGGTCAGAATCAGAATTTATGCTGTGGCTGCTGACTTCAAATCCTTTTCCTTCCTGCCCCTGGTTTACTGTTACTTAGCCCTGCATAAAATGGCAGATCTACCACCAACATAACGTGGTGGAAAGAGGCAGTGTGACTTGGAGGAAATCATGTTCCTGGCTTTGGAATGAGAAGATCTGGGTTCAAATCCTGCCTCAGTCACTTTTCTGCATGGGTGATATTAAACAAGTCACTTCACCTCACAGCCTCAGTTTCCTCATCTGTAAAATGAGTGGGTTGAGCTACTTGGCTTTTGAGGTCACTTCCAGCTATTTAGCTTCCCTGGGCCTCAGTTTCCTCTTCTATAACATAAAGGGAGTTAGACTAGACAGCTTTGCCAATCCCTCCCAGCCTTGGGGTTATGATTCCAGGATCCTAGGAAAGCAGGTGAGAGTTGGGCACCAAGCACCCCATTGGCAGAGTCATGAGGCAGGTTGAGAACTTGGGACCTGCCAAGGGTCAGGGAAGCTAAGCTGTCGTGTTCTCCATCCATCCTGTGAGATGAGTGCTACCGCCTCCTGTGGAGATAAGTATTGAACTTTCTATTCACTGAAACTCACCAGACATAGGTCCAGCACCTCCTGAGTGCCACATGCTAGGATACCAAATCA